AGTAAATCAGCACTGTCGGTCAGCAACAACAGCCAGCAAGAGAGGGAGGGGGAGGAGGGCCTGTATGTATGTAAGGATGGAGGGGGGGGGGTGGGGGGGGGGGGGGGGGGGGGGGGGGGGGGGGGTTGAGAAGTTTAGTGTGTATGCGTATGTGATAGACATACAGATAGTGAGGGAGTGCAGAAAAACAGAGCTAATAAGTAAGGAAAATAATAGAAGGGAAAGAATGCCAGGGAAGTGGGGGATGGGAGGCGAGGGTAAAAAAAAAAAAAAAAGTTAAAGAGAAAAAGAAAAGGAGCGAGACAGAGAAAGAGAGAGGGAGGGGAGCGCCTGGTGCTCTGTTGTGAAACATGAGCTCAGGAAAAACGGCTCTGAGTTTAACACTCAACCCAATGTTTTTGCAGTTGTTACTGTTTGGAGGAGGTCCATTGCGTGAGCCAACACGCACTGAAACCTACACAAAGGCACACACGCGCGCACACACCCACACACTCTCACACACACACACACACACACACACAGTTGTCCTAGAGCCCCACCCCTGGTGTGCTGGTTGTTTTTCTCCCTCGGCCCCGTCCCTCTCTCCACACTCCTGTTATCAAGGTGAGGTGTGCTAACAAGACAGGCTGCCTGCCTGACGTCTCTGGCGCCCTGCCAACCTGCTGAGAGAAACAACCAAATAAAACGCACCCACTGAACTGGCCCTGTTCTGTTGCTCGGAGGCTTTATGCAGCTCCTTTATGCAGCTCCTTTATGCGTGCTGCCTGCTTGCAACGATGACAGTGCGTCTGGAAACCGTGCATGAGGCGAGCTCTTCTCTCATTACTGCACACCACAGGCCGTGCCAGCGTAGAGGGCTCCTCGTGTGTCCACAGGAAACCACAGTGACTCCTTATTTTTTTTATTTTGCTCCAGGAACCTTTTTCCCTGCCAATTAGCTCCCAACAATGACCCGTCTTGTTTATGTACGGTGTATTGAGTGACATCCCCCATCATAATTAGGTTCTCAGCTTCATGCAGGGCTGAATGGATTTTCACACGTGTGGAGAGACAGCCGCTTGCGGTGCGCAGTCTATACAGGGTGTATCTTTTAATTGGGTCCAAATGGTGGTGGATAAAACGAAAATATTAAAGAAAAGCGATGAAGTTGGAAAATGTAGAGGGGAGAACAATAGCCAGCAGGAGACGGAGAGGACAAGTTCAGCAGGTTCATGTGCTGTGCTCTGAGGATTTTAAATCCCTCCCCTTGACCACAGGATACTGCTAGTGTTTGTAAGTCAGAGATTTCTGCTCTGTGCATGTGTGTGTGTGTGTGTGTGTGTGTCACAGCTGTGAGGCCGGGAGTGACTGCTGCTCAACAAAGCACTGCGCTCTGCTGGGTTGCTCTTGGTAAACAAAGGGAACTCACAGTGCTGTGTAGTGATTGCCCAACCTCTCCTCTAGCAGAGAAAGTAAAGAAAAGAGCTGGTCGAGCACAGCAGGTTAAAGGAAGTCAAAGTAGCAGGGAAACAGGGACTTTTAAAAGTGAGAGAATGACCCAGATGCAAAAGCAAAAACCAGGACTGTTTATTTTATTATCAGCTACAAAGTGTTAACAGATCAATTTCTGCAGGCTCTCCTCCCAGCTGTGATAGGGTGGCAGAGCGGAGCAGAGCAGGCTGGAGGAGGTGGGGGGGTTAGGGTTGGGGTCTTTGCCAGAGGAGGTCAGCTGTGTTCAGTCACGGCAGAGAGAGGGGGGGGGGGGGGGGGGGGGGGG